AGCTTAAGCGCTTTTTTTCATACTCGCCCTGACCTTTAATTTCTCGTTAAGATGGTGTGTGTGTGTGTTTCTCTTCGATAGTGGGATGTAGTGGTGTATTTTGCGTAGTTAGTGCGATCGGAACACATTTTTATAAATACACAGGATTTTTCAAGGTGTGTAAATTCGAAAGGACCTGGATGTCAAACGTGTGACCCGAGTAATGAAATTGGTATAAAGCAGAGTTGACAGATGGCAAGAGTCTTATGGCAGCCTGGTTCCACTAGGAGCAACAATCACGCAGAGCCTGCTCTAACCGGTGGTCCCACCGAGGTCAGTTCACTACTTCTGATCCTTTTTGGGGGCGTTTAACTGAATTGCCACTAACAATGGCAAATTAGATGATTTGTACAATAATATCTAGCTTTTGTTTGCTTTAATCTCTATCTACGCTCTACGTCCTGTCTTAATTTGTTTATCGGTTTTTTTATCCACTTCTTATTGGCTGTGTATATGACTCTGACCCAATTTATTGATTTCTTCCTGCGTCATTTTAAACCTGCATTGTTGGTCACTTTGTTTTTTTATTCGAATTAATTGGTCACATGTTTGCATCCACTTCTCTCCTTTTCTCCAATCAAATGCCCCGTCCTAGACCCCTAAACATTCCTGTCATGTGATTCATGGTGGGGGCTCGTGTTGTTTGAACTCTAAGCGCATGCAAATAAATGCCGAAATTAACTAACCTAATCGCTAATTTGTCCTTAAAGGAAGCACGTATTGGGGGAAATACAATTTACAAACACTTTAAATATTTACCTGTTGAATGCTATGCCAGATCTTTACGCCATAGCAGTCATTAGGTGAAGCAAACCAAAGTGAATTTTCAATATCAACTCTTCATGACTTTATTAAAAAAACCGGTTGAGTCATAACACTTGTATTTTGGAACACGATATTTCCAATAAGTGCATATTACACGATTGGAATGCCAAAAACAACGTTTTGATAACCTCAATCTTATTGATTGTTAGATTTACTGTTAATGGGTTTCAGTAGTTTTTTTTTCACAGTTAACATTGTACTTTGCTGTTACACTTTAGTGATATTAATATGTTTCAAGGCTAACTGTTATTCTATTTCCGGGTTTCTGCGCCATTTAATTTTCGCTGTATTCAGAGGTAAATGATTTGCTTACTTAAATAAATGATTCAATTCAATTGAATTATATATATATATTTTTGATAACGGCAAGAGTTTTTTAACGTATTAAAAGAATTTGGACAGTTATCTAAGTCGATTTATTAGTATTACTGATTTATACTTTTATTGTATTTACATGCGCGGTAATCGATTAAGGCGTAATAATTAAACCTCACACTTTTTATAATCTCTAGCGTGATTTAAGGAGTCCTTTTTTCTCACATAACTAAGAATCTCAATAAGCAGAGAAAGAGAGAGAGAAAGTAAACCTGGTAAATGCTATGCCACATCCATTAGGAAGTATAAAACAATGCAAAGTATGGAGGAAACAGTCATTCTAAACAAAGATTATTTCAGTTTTGAGTAGCAATGATTGTAGTTGATCTTATTTAGGGTTAGAGTTTCTAATTTACCTATTATTCGTCCGTGTTTGTCTGTTTGTTGGCAAATTCCAACTTGGATATTACTTCAACCCACTTCAAAATCTTTAATGGCAACGTACACGCCGACTTACTAGGTAAATGAATATTCATCTTCATCTTGACATTAACGCGTTTGGGTATCATTATTAACATCATTTTTGCTATTATACTTAACTTACCTGCATTTGCCATCTCATGATAAGCAATTGTAGGAGGAAATTTAACTTTGGTGCAATAATAACTGCAGGAGTTGTGTTTTTTTAGTTGCTTTCAATTGAGTGGCTGCTGATATCACGAACTGAGTATGATTGACTTCCTCTCGTTAGTAAGAATGTATCCTGTCGGCGCATTTAAGTAGTCAAATCAATTGAATTGCAGGCGGAATTTTCGCTTTGTCGAATCTGTCACGATTAAATAAAGAAACACACGGTTCCCGCCTCAAAAGCAACAATATCCCATCTCAAGGGAATTAGAGCAAGAGTTAGGAAATTGATAAATGCATGAAGAAACGATTTTATATTTTCATTGAGATTGTCGTTTCAAGAAATATGGGCAGTGAGGGGGGTGTATATAAGGAATAAGTTAAGTCGTATAGTTTTCGATAGACCAGTGCCGAGATGACCGGTTTAGTTATCTCAATTTATTTAACAACAATGTTGGGTTCTTATATAAGCATTTCTTCGCATCGTGTCAGTCATGTTTGGTCTCTGATGTCTGCTTATTGTCTGACTTCTCTAGAGGTGACAATATGAATAACCGCTCACACCTAGACCCCCATAAGAAATTCTGTCTCCGAGGTCTTATCGTATCTATTTGCCAGGTGCTACTGGACGTCTGTTGCCTATAGCATTGTTCCCCAGTTGCAACGACTTTTTTAGTTGCTAAATTCACGAATGCTTTACCCTATGAACCCACCAATCGTGTTGCTGCTTAATTATTGGAAGGAGGATCAATAACATCAATTTAAGAGTACGGTTGACTGGATGTGTTTTATCCTGCATTCCACTGATAGAGAAAATATGCCGCAATATAGCTTCATGACTAATGCTGTCTACTGTGGCATGATTGTTATCTCTTCCTAATGCAATCTTTGTTCCACCTTCGTATTTTGCATTTTGTTATTGCCCTTAGCACTCGTCTTTCCCATTCAAAAGATGTTTTTAAATAAAGCCGCCTTTAGACGACGTCGCGACTTAAAACAAAGCTCCTTCCCTTTCCATGTTTTGGAACGTTTATTTATTTATTTTATTTATATCAAATGGCAGGCATTTTGATAATTATCATAAGCCCTTTAGTTGACTTCAGGCTCCACAGAGAGGAAGGAACATCAAAGTTTCAAGAAGGAAGGAACATCAAAGGGAAAAAAGTCGAGAGAGGGGAGGGGAACAGAAGAGTGTTTCATAGATGTAAAAGAGAGAGACACAAAGGCAGAGTGTTACAGAAGGTGAGGTGAGTACTGTGAAAGTAGTCGAATATGACAAGGTAAGATGAGTACTGTGAAAGGGGTCAAATATGACAAATAGTCGAGGTAAGATGAGTACTGTGGAAGGGGTCGAATATGACATACGGTTGAGGTGAGTACTGTGAAAGTAGTCGAATATGACATACAATGAGGTGAGTACTGTGGAAGTAGTCGAATATGACATACAGTAAGGTGAGTACTGTGGAAATAGTCGAATATGGCATAGAGTGGGGAAGATGTAGAAGATACAGACACAAAGGTAGAAAAAAGGTGATGTGAGTACTGTGGAAGGGGTCGAATATGACAAGCAGTCGGGCTGTGAGTACTGTGAAAATGATCGAATATGACATGGAGTCAGCGAGTACTGTGGAAGTAGTCGAATATGACATACAGTGGGGCGAGTGCTGTTGAAGGGGTTGAATATGACAAGCAGTCGGGCTGATTGGTAGTTTGAAGTGAGAAGTCAACTGCCGGTTGATAGACGTAGTTTGAAGTCAGAAGTCAACTGCCGGTTGATAGACTTGATGGTAATTGAAGTCAGAAGTCAACTGCCGATTAATAGACTTGTACCGTTAAAGTAATAGAGTGGGGTGATGGTAGTTTGAAGTCAGAAGTCAACTGCCGATCAATAGACTTTTTGCAAGTCAGAAGTCAACTGCCGATCAATAGACTTTTTTGTCTTTGAAGCTAGAGTCAACTGAAGGTAGAAAAAAGGCGAGGTGAGTACTGTGGAAGTGGTGAAATATGACATACAGTGGGGTGATGGTAGTTTGAAGTCAGAGGTATATGACATACAGTGGGGTGATGGTAGTTTGAAGTGAGAAATAGGTAGAAAAAAGGTGAGGTTAGTACTGTGGAAGAAGTCGACAGTAGAGCAAAGGTGAGGTGAGTACTGTGGAAGGGGTCGAATTTGACATACAGTGGGGTGATGGTAGTTTGAAGTGAGAAGTCGAAGAGAAAAGGTAAGATGAGTACTGTTGAAGTGGTCGAATTTAAGAAAAAAGGTGAGGTGAGTACTGTGAAATGGTCGAATATGGACAAAGGTGAGGTGAGTACTGTAAAAATAGTCGAATATGATATAGAGTGGGGTGATGGTAGTTTGAAGTCAGAAGTCAACTGCCGATCAATAGACTTTTTGCAAGTCAGAAGTCAACTGCCGATCAATAGACTTTTTTGTCTTTGAAGTCAGAAGTCAACTACCGTACAGTGGGGTCATGGTAGTTTGAAGTGAGAAGTCAACTGTAGGTGAGGTGAGTACTGTGGAAGTAGTCGAATATGACACAGTAAGGTAAGATGATTACTGTGAAAGGGGTCGAATATGACATAAGTGAGGTGATGGTAGTTTGAAGTGAGAAGTCAACTGCCTTAGTCGAATATGACATACAGTGGGGTCAGAGTCAACTGAAGGTAGAAAAAAGGCGAGGTGAGTACTGTGGAAGTGGTGAAATATGACATACAGTGGGGTGATGGTAGTTTGAAGTCAGAGGTATATGACATACAGTGGGGTGATGGTAGTTTGAAGTGAGAAATAGGTAGAAAAAAGGTGAGGTTAGTACTGTGGAAGAAGTCGACAGTAGAGCAAAGGTGAGGTGAGTACTGTGGAAGGGGTCGAATTTGACATACAGTGGGGTGATGGTAGTTTGAAGTGAGAAGTCGAAGAGAAAAGGTAAGATGAGTACTGTTGAAGTGGTCGAATTTACGAATATGGCATAGAGTGGGATGATGGTAGTTTGAAGTCAGAAGTCAACTGCCGGAGTAGTCGAATTTGACATACAGTGGGGTGATTGTAGTTTGAAGTCATGTCAAATGCCGGTTAATAGACTTTTTTGCCGTATGAGAATGTAGGACATATAGGGGGGTCATGGTAGTTTGAAGTGAGAAGAAAACTGCCGGTTAATAGACTTTTTTGCCGTATGCGGAGAAGTCAACTACCAGTTAATAGACTTTGCCGTTGAAGTCAGAAGTCAACTGCCGGTTAATAGAATTTTTTTGCCGATAGTGAGAAGTCAACTGCCGGTTTATAGACTTTTTTGCCGCACAGTGGAAGTGGTCGAATATGCCATACAGTGAGGTCACGGTAGCTTGAAGTCAGAAGTCAACTGCCGATTAATAGACTTTTTTGCCACATGCAGTCAGAAGTCAACTGCCGGTTTATAGACTTTTTTGCCGTTTGAGTAGTCAGAAGTCAACTGCCGGTTAATAGACTTTTTTGTGAAGTGAGAAGTCAACTGCCAGTTAATAGACCTTTTTGCGTTGAAGTCAGAAGTCAACTGCCGGTTAATAGAATTTTTTTGCCGATAGTTTGAAGTCAACTGCCGGTTTATAGACTTCGAATATGACATAGAGAAGTCAACTGCCAGTTAATAGATCTGGTCATGGTAGTTTGAAGTCAGAAGTCAACTGCCGGTTTGTGTGAGTACTGTGAAAATGATCGAATATGACATGGAGTCAGCGAGTACTGTGGAAGTAGTCGAATATGACATACAGTGGGGCGAGTGCTGTTGAAGGGGTTGAATATGACAAGCAGTCGGGCTGATTGGTAGTTTGAAGTGAGAAGTCAACTGCCGGTTGATAGACGTAGTTTGAAGTCAGAAGTCAACTGCCGGTTGATAGACTTGATGGTAATTGAAGTCAGAAGTCAACTGCCGATTAATAGACTTGGGGTCATGATAGTTTGAACTCAGAAGTCAACTGCCAGTTAATAGACTTACTCATGGTAGTTTGAAGTCAACTGCCAGGTAATAGACTTTAGTTTGAAGTGAGAAGTCAACTGCCGATTGATAGACTTTTATTTGAAGTCAGAAGTCAACTGCCAGTTAATAGACCTTTTCAGTCAGAAGTCAACTGCCGGTTTATAGACTTTTTTGCCGTTTGAGTAGTCAGAAGTCAACTGCCGGTTAATAGACTTTTTTGTGAAGTCGGAAGTCAACTGCCGAATAATAGACTTTTTTGCCGTATGAGTATACGTTGACCAGGGTGCACCACGTGGAGGTATTTCTTCTAGGAATGATTTAAGATAGCGGCGAAAAATAGTGATGCGTCCTTTTTATTTGAGCTGGGATTGACAAATATACCGAATTCATATGAGCTAAATCTTTCCACTTTGATGGAATAATAATAATCAGGCATGTTGTCTTCTATTGATGTATGAATTATTTCTTTAGGAGAACAGAACAACGAAGAGGCTGCAGGTATCAACATAACCCCTTCAACACAACGTGGTCAGAACACTCCTCGGCTAACACCTTCAATTGTCTCTCAATCCCCCCTATCTTCCCTTTCTCCTCCTGAATGGGCGGCCGATACAAGCTCTTCTGTCTGTGTTTCTTGTGGTGCCAAATTCACTGTACTTCGTCGACGCCATCACTGTCGAATTTGTGGGCGTCTACTCTGCGCCACCTGTACCCCTCACCGTGCTCCCCTGCCCCCATCCTTCTCCAATCATATTCCTATTTCGCCTTCCTCACCTGAGGAGAGTCTTCTTCGATTGGTTGGGTCTGCATCGTCTAGTACGAGTGGCACAAGTGGAGATGAGAAGCTTCATCGTGTGTGTATTGACTGCTTTAGGAATATTTTTGGTGGAAGTTTGGTGCCATCGAATGTGGAAAGTGTGCAGCAACAACAGCATGCCACTATCGCTCAGACTCCCACCCCTAGTAAGTAGTGATTTCCATAATTTTAATTGCCCCTTTATTATAAGAGCTGATTCAGGGCATTTTCCTTTACCCATGACAATTGTTATCACAGCTGGATCCTCATGGATTTAAAGTGTTTGTATTTTCCTCGATATGGGGGGAGAAACGTCTCCATTGACGTTAAATTGGGAGTAAGTTGTTTACAAAACAATCAACTAAACTTCAATACGTCCCACGGTATTAATTGTGAACGAGTTTTGGGGCAGCTAAAACCATGTCGCAACTCGTGAAATGCTACTTAAGTTAAATATTCATGGCGAGTGCTGGCCAATGAGTAAAAATCGGAGGGGATTGAGAAGATGCCACTTTGTTGCAAATTCCATTCTTGGAGATGTGCTCTTTTTTGTTATTCTATTTTACTGGCGCATTCTGATATATTATCAGAATACTGCTATTCACCATAGTCTATTCAAAGTGCATCGAAAATTGATTATGTGGATGTTTTAACTGTTGTGGTTTGAATTGATATTTTGCAAGTCGGTAGTTTTATCCATTTAGAAACCTTAAAACGGGTCATTTAAAGTCATTGTTGTCCGTTATGTATACTGACCAAGTACCACTTGCTCAGTGGTTAATTTTGACACGTATATACGAACAGTCCAACAGTTTACCTTGTTTGTTATGCATGGTCCGTAAAAGTGGTTTTTACGCTTTCGGTTTATAAAAAAACACAGTTGGAATACATACGCAATGTGTCTTTAAAATGGGACATATTTACCTAACCCTCATTTACTCGTATAAATTAAAATTTTAATTGGTATAAAACAGGCACCACTCGTTATTGATTCCCTAGAGAATGGAAACCAAAAAGTTTAGACGGTGCTTGTCAATTTTGGGTCCGAAGGTCATCTCCTGTTTTAAACATTATTATTATTATTATTATATCAAATGACAGACTTTTTGATCATTTTTATTATTATATCAAATGGCAGGCGCTTTGATTTCTTTAGTTGACTTCAGTATTCACAGAGGGGAAGGAACATCGAAGTGTAAAAAATTCAAGGGGGGGGGAGCAGAAGAGTGTATCAAAGACGAAGGTAGATAAGGTGCTACACAGAAGAGTGTATCAAAGACGAAGGTAGATAAGGTGGAAATAAAGGTGGGATGAGTACTGTGAAAGTAGTCGAACATGACATACAGTGGGGTCATGGTAGTTTGAAGTCAACTGCCGATTAATAGACTTTTTTGCGAATGAGTATACGTTGCCCAAGGTACACCACGTGGAGGTAAGTCTATTGCACACCCCCCATTTTAAAAGTTAAGTATGCTTTTGATTTGTTTCACATGAAGTCCTTCAATTTCCTTTGCTTGAAAGAAATACCCACTTTAAGCTTAATTATTTCAATTTCAATTCCTCGTTTCTTGTGCTAATAATCAGTTCTTAATGACAACAAGCTGGCCATAGACGTATCTCAGGAGACGTTGCATTAGCTCTAATCCATTTGGCTAAAACAGCACTTTAGAAATCGGGTCAAATATGAAATCTCCGTAGGAAATTCACACTTTTGTATTACCGTAGGTAATAATAGTGGTAATGATTGGATCAAAAGTAGGCCTGATTGTGATGGATTGATAATATGTTTTTTTGATCCATTTGGAGGTGCTAAATTGGACACTGACAGCTGTTTGACTAATAATAGGGGATGAGAGTGCAAACGCACTTTTTAAAATTAAAAGATTTAATTAGTGATTGGTTATTCTATACTGGATGGTTTTATTTAAAATTCTGTTTATTTTATAAATAAGAAGGCTGCGACAGAAGAATTGTGGAATTAGCTATGTTGTGCGCACTGCGTCATCTAGACCAACATAGTCACAAGGCATGACCAAATATGAAATGTAGGATGCTGGGATATACACACCCCGTCAGTTCGAATGCTCTTCGATGACCATTATGCCAAGATGGTGACATTTTCTCATTGTTAGCTCTTCCACAATTCTTGGTTCGCCTTTCTATTTGATCCACTCCTGTAGACTTTAATTCTGCTTGATTAAGACGTTTTAGATCATCGTTTGCACAACAAAG